ATACTGGTCAATCGCTGATTCACATTTTGGTGGTAGAATATTTGTTTTACTGAAATGACATGATAAATTATTTATTTTCACACTCTTATGGATGTGGGTACATGTTGTTTAATTCTATCCTGCGCATTTGCCATCTTTAAAACTGAGCAGGAATGTCTTACAAGACCTAAACTCGTTGCACTCGGCTTTCAAATTTATTTTCAAAAAGGAACAATATAACTGTTTACCGTTCTTAGACGTCTTAGTTGAAAAAGATGCCTTTCGTTTTCTCACCAGTATATACAGAAAACCTACCATTACAGGACAATACACACGATGGGATTCTTTCAGTCACAAAACGAACCTAATTGCTACTTTAATCCATCGTGCTCTAGTTATCTATTCAAAATATAAACTATACTTCAAATTGAAGACAATTAAAACTATTTTACTAGAAAATGGATATCCAGACAACGTCATCAATCAATTACTTCAAGGAAAATTGCGAGCTTCTCAGCTGAACCAAAATTCGGTTTTAATAAGTGTCCTGTTTACCTAAAACAACCATGGAAACTAACATTTCAACAAAATTTTAATACAATTGAAAACGGCCATCACTAAATGTTTTCCTGCAGTGAACCCATACTGTGCTTATTCCACACGTAAGTTGTTGCCTGCAACACACAAAGATGCGATACCTACCACACAGAAGTATGGTTATTTATGAAATCTCGTTCCACTGCAAATGTCGGTAAGTAGGTCGCACTTCACAAAGATTGCAGGATAGATTTAAACAACATGTACCCACATCCATAAGAAATAAGAGTGTGAAAGAAAAGAAAATAATTTACCATGTCGCTTCTGTAAAACAAAAGTTCTACCACCAAAATATGAATCAGCGATTGGCCAGCATTTACTAGTGAACCCGATTTGTGCTGACAATTACACGGATAGCAGGTATGAAATTATTGCAAATGTCGGTAGACCTTTCATCTCTATATTTTGGAAGTCACCTTTATTAAAACATATAAACCTGTTATTTGCCACCAAAAGGAATTCCTATACAATCTACATATCCTTAGTAGGTCTGTGACACTTCCTGATTGGCTAAAGGACATGCTAATCAGTCATTGCTTTACCGGCCTACGTTGATCTGACTCATTTTATAAGCTGTACTCATTCCAATAGATCATTTTCCAGACAGTTCTGCTATGATTAGTGTCTAGCGAAAAGCTTCAGCAGATATTTCTTTTGCAACATCTCAACCAACAATTGGTCCAGTTATCAACGCTCTTTTCTACTTTTAAACAACTCGACATTCAAGATCTACATATCTACTTGTGCCGGTGTTTCCATTTATCAACGTTATATTTTAAGATCTGTCAAGAACTTAGCTAACAGATGTTTTCGTATATGGAAACTATCTCCAAGTTTTGTACAACGAAAAACCTTTTCAAATAATATATGTAGTTAAAAATAAAGCAAAAATGTTACTTCAAATTTAGAAAAATATACATATTTGAATTAGTTAACAATATTATTGTATAATTTTATAACAATACCTGAAATACTTTACTCGGATTTTCAATAAACGGTACAAAATTTAGAAACTCGAACTGTCTTTCAATATCTTTAGACTTAATCACGATCCTAAGAGGAATTGGGAGGTTTTTGTCTCCTAGGTAATTTTCCCAAGTGGAATCTGTAAGGACAAGACCTGCTTAAGTCAATAAATCAAGTTTGAAATTACTTGAAAAATATTGGAAACATAACTTCCTTACTCTTCTTTTTAACTGTCTTAAGTAATGAAAAATTAGTAGTTACATAGCCATCTGTTAAACTATGCTTTAAGTTCATTACTCAGATACCGAACAAAAATTTGATATTACTGTCGAATTAAATCTACATTGCTGATATTGATTAAAATTATTATAATCTTACGTTCCGAACCAAAACGTGAAACTTCATAACAAACCAAGAAACAAGTTCCCAGTTTTTCTAACAATTGTCTGCTTTAAACAAATATACGTTTGTCAGATCATTTAACATGTTTATTTCGCTTAAGTTTAAAAAACAAATATAAGTTTTATTTATGATAAACTTAAGGTTCTAACGTTTACAAATTTCTGAAAGGTTCATCACTTTTTAAAGTTGTTTCATACCAATAACTGCAAACAAGGAGAAGTGAATAAAACTATATATATTCAAAAATATGATCTAAGTTAATAAATAATTGAAATATATAAAGTTTCTCCATTCAGCTTTATTACAAGTTGTGTTTTTAAGTATTAATTCATATCGTAGTAATCATATTATAAAAGTTAACATTTATACTTGATAGTTTAAGAAATTTCAACAGCTGAAAATTGTGATTGCCTTATTAATGTTTATTAGAAAAGAGTTATTTAAATATATGAAAACGTTTTATATACTTTCAGACGCATTTATTGGGACAACTTTGGACATTCATACAAAATTCATTTATAATCTAAATCTTAAATTATAGCACAATTGCTATAACAGATCCATAAGAATTGTTTTATCTCGGATTCTATGCAGTACAACTACTATAACAGATATCAGCATTTACACATAAGAATTATGGATTCGAGTTCCATACAGTACAATTACTATAGCTGATCTGAGTATTTACGCCTAAGAATTATGAATCTCGTATTCCATGCATTACAATTACTATAACAGATCTTGTGAATAGCTCAACACAAAATATATGCATGCTAGATTACAAGTATCTATTCATAACAAGGAATCTCTATTTTCTACTTTCTGTTCATAAAATAATCAGAATTAAAAAGTCCAAAAAATGCATTTAATGAGAGCATAATCAAATTTGAAAATTAAGAATATCTATATACAACATAAGACCCAAAACCATAATAACATGAAATATAATTTAAGAGCAGAATTTCTGATATCCAAATAATTAATTTATCTAAATTTTCGATGTTTCTAAATAATATAATAATATAGTTAAAGCATAAGTCACACCCAATTATCCACACGTAACATAGTTGAAGTACAATTTCTAATATATACATACATACATCAAATTTCTCATATCTCCACTAAACATATTTGAAATGTATATTCCTTGTATTGTCATATGAAGTAATTAAAGTAAAATGTTCCATATATATCACAAAAAAACATTAGAATTCATTACATTTCCAGATATCTCTACACTCCTAGAATAGACTCTATAGAACATCTCACCAAGAAAATAATAGTCAATTTGGGTTTGGTTGTTATCTAGACACTGTCTCCATCTGTTAACAGTCATGTCTCTGACACCAGGAATTGATTCTTTTCCCATATAAGCCTAATAAAACAAAAATAAATGTTAATACTTTATACACCAAACACAAAAGAGGATTAGCTTTAATATATGGTATCTACTGGGCTTCCTGTTGTGTTTATGAACTTGACATGTTTTAATTAAGCAATTATCATAAATATCAAATCAAAACGAGTTAATTCTATCCTATAAACGGGAAAATCACATTGCTTCCTGAAAGAAAAATTAGTAATGAGAAATAAATTAGTGCCTTTACGTAATTTAATATCTTCCAAAATCAGCAAAGAAATTAAAACAAAACAAAAATTTCTTAGAGATTCGGCGTGTTCTCGTGGTTAGAATACTAGGTTGTGATCTAAAGGTCCAAGAGATGATCCTTCATATGTTGCTGAAAGTACTTCACAGGTTCAGTTTTTGGGGACTTATTGCTATAAAAGTCAATCCCATTGAAGGTGTTTACGTTTAATTGTCAATGTTCTCTAGTTTTTTCTTTGTAGTGGGCGGATTAAAAACTATTTTGATCACTACTTTTCTCTCCACCACTATTATGAGTAGCTGTAGGTGCTTGTACCTGTTTTACGTTTGAACATGACTTTTTTTTTCAAATTGTAGGGCTATGTCTTCCACACGAAACTATTAACTGACTAATTTCTGAGTGGCCTGTTGATTGTTTTCGATGCGCGGTACCTCTCAAATTGCTGCGCAGCTTAGAAGGAACATTGTAATAGTTTCCCTCCCTCTAATTAGCAGCTCTAAATTAAGGATGTCTATTCCACTATCTTGAAGTCGTTTAGCCCAATGTTATATAAGGTTCTGCTGAGGTTTAAGATACCAAAATATAAAATTCGTAAAAATTATCATAATTTAGAAACAAAGCTTTCAAACTGTAATCTAAAATAAATACTACATTATTATCAGCGATAATATAGGTATTAAACTCTAATATACGCAATTCCGTGTACTTTTCAAATCAAAAAATATATATAAAAACAGTTTTGTTAACAAAACGGCATCTACATACCAGTTTAAAAATCAAACCTCTTGAAAAAATATTTTTTTACTTGTTGGTATGATTAATCATAGCATGAAATTATGACTTTGAACTTTTTAAATAAAGAAAATATTAGTATAAAATCCTTTGATAGATTGGTTAGGCTGAGTATTCTGAAGTATTTCGAAACGTCGTCCTCTACACTTGTGTTTCTACAACATAGTTTAAAATCACCTACATTTTAAAACTGATTTTCATATAATGAGCTTTTACCACAAAGCTACAAAACATGAATTAAACACCGAAGTAATAACTTATGTATCACATTATGAGAAACAGGTACCCATACCATTTTTATTAACCTTAAGAAATGGCATAAAAATATAATTTGAAAGAAACCCATAACTAAAGAAGGTTAAATTGTACTCCTTGTTGAGTTATCACAGGACCTGAAAGTTGAAAATACAGCTTATTTATAGAAATAAAATAAGAGTCATTAAGAACCATTTTGAAAACAACTGAAAATAGGATCCTTCTTAAACTTAGAAAACAAACATTTTTACGTAATTTTCGAAAATAGTTTAATAGCTCCAAAACTATATTCATGTTGTAAATTCCAGTATAAAACATAACACTAACTGATTAATCTACGTTTTGCAAATTACTCAAATAAACTTCTACTGTTTCTACGTTACTTAAAATACAAAAGGTTTCAAAAACAAAAGAAAGACTCAGGAATCCTGCCATTTTGCACGTTCCTCCACGTTTCTTAAAATTTGAAAGGAAACTTTTGAAGAAAAATGTTCCTCAGCGATATTTTTTACACTTACACTTATTGGATAAATTTGACCTATTTTTTTAAGTTCGTGTTAGTTGAAAGTAATTTAAAACTTTAACCTATCCGAATTAAAATGTTTTATAAAAATTATAATTTATACCTTTACCTCCAAAGTGACAGAAGAAATTATCTCAATGATCACTTTCCACAAGAAGTAGGAGAATGCTTTTATAGAATATTTTTTGGAGGAACTGGAAACTGACATATTGAAGGTGAACCAGTGTTTTGAATTTCTTATTTTTTTAATTTACATACGACCTAAATAGAATTGTAATTTGAATAATCTTATACAATATTTATATAAAAAATACAAAAATATAAAAAATATATCCATCAAATTTTCATTTAATGGCGTTTAAAAGAGAATACACGTGTTTTCCTTGTAAACCCGACATTGTAAGCTTTATAATTTCTGTTTAAAGACGCATTAACAAAACATCAAACAACTTCTAACTCTTCCTTTTCTGAAAAGTACGCAGACAGTTTCGGATTGTTACGACTTTAAGTTAAGATTTTCATTTAACTAGGAATTATATGTATATTTAGAAAATTAGTTAATGCTGGATTTTCACTAAATTGTATATATTTTTTAATAATTACATAAGGTAATTATTAATTACATATAATTTACAATACAATAATTACATATAATTTACAATACACTAATTACATATAATTTACAATACAATAATTACATATAATTTACAATAATTACATAAGGTAATTATTTTGTACTGTATTGATTATACGATGGATGATCTCAAAAGTCTGTATAATTTTCCACTGTGAAATTTGTCTATTTGTTGAAATAAATAGCATATATTTTAATGGTTTGTTTCTTGCGAATAACTGCTTAATTGTTTTATTCGTATGATAGGTAATTATAAAGCATCAGTAAGAACTGACATTTGTAAGTCCTCTTTTTGGACTGGCTATATTTATTTACCATCTTATAAAATTTATTACCTTCTGAGAATGTTTGAAAGGAGAAGTCAGTTTGTGATTCTTTGAATTATAATACTTATCAATTCCATCTCTTTCCGTTTCCACGCGCTTTTTTAGAAATTAGATTAATGAAAATTCACCAAACATGCTCGCCCTTTCAGCCGTGGGGGCGTTATCATGTGATGGTCAAACCCACTATTCATTGGAAAGAACGAATACATTCTTTATTCTTTTTTAAGTATTAAGAATACTTGGAAAATATCACGAAGTTTTATGTCTGTAAACTTTATTAATGTTAATAAATATAACATAGTTTGTCTTATAAACATCGATAACACTTGAAAAGGATCAAAACACTTTGTTTGTTATTTTATTAGGGCCAGCTGTCAAAATATCAACTTGCACACTGAATGTTTCTAGCTTTCTGCAACATTTCCCTTTAACGTCCGTGTTAAAAGATGAGATAAATAATTACGTTAACCGGACAGCAAATGAATCACATTGAGTCCAATCATTCGTATATATTAGTTCTCTTAGTTTTCATAACATATATCGACATTAAAATATATTAACGTTTGATAAGTCACGTGAAATTATTCAATAATTCTGTTTTGGATTTTTGAATTAACATATAGTTTGAATAAAATTAGGCATTTTCTTATATTTCATTCATTATATTATAAGTTGTTTTTATTTCTGTTCAAACACGATGTCACTTAACATGTCTCTTACTTTCAAGTGTAGGCGTGTTATAAAAGAGACAATCATTCCCAATGTGAGTATCAGGAGTTTGATAAATCTTTTTCTTGGACGTAAGCTGCTGATTACCTGTTCTGTTTGTAATTCAGAATTAAGGACTCCTACACATGACTTCTAGAAGGCTCTGACCATGGCCTTTTAGTCCATGAACGTATAAGGTGCTGTTCAGCTTGAAAATACCTTTTTGTGTATATTTTTAATACGAAAACCCGAAGAGAGATACGGGAAGAATTATACGTAGATTAGGTACCAGTAACCCTGATAAGTTTAAATATTATTTTAATATGGCGTTCAAGGTTTATATTTATATTTGTATGTCGCTAATTTAGTGTGGGATGTCAATGAGATTAACATTATAGCAATTTTGCAGTATATAATTGTTGTGCTTCGTTTTTTTACATTCAATAAAACATAAAAAATTGGTTCACTTTACCACAGCATATATACATACCATCAGTTCTTTACTTTCTTTGTAGTCAAGATAGCCGTGTCTGAACATTGCTGATGGGCCTAAAAGTACGCGATCTATTTCTCTGTCAATCCAATACTTGTCAAAAGGATTTTTTATTGAAGATATTGAAGTAACATTACAGGGACCTGAAAAAATAGGCAAATAAACCTTTATTGTTGTTGTTATTTTTACCAAAATAGGTACTTGATTTCAAATAACTGACACGTTATTGTTTCTTGTTTGCGTGTTCGTTCACTGACTGAATAACAACAAACAGACAATGAAAATGTACATTTTTTTGAAGACACTACAAGAAAAAAAAGAAGCTAAGTCTTGCTTAATCAGAAATAAATGTCATATGGATATTTAACAAACAATACATCTTTCAGTATCAGAAATGAAGCATTCGCGTATCTATAAAATATTGCGTAAAATATATCTCAAATAAATTTCAATCCAAAATTTCACTAATAAACTTGATATTTTGCTGTGGAAAATAAAGTGTAAACATTTCGAACATACTCTCAAACAAATGTATAAATAATCAATACTTTTTCAAAATCATTATTAACACCATGCTCTTTTAATTACTTACGAAATTGCCATCCAGTGGCTCAACGGTACGTCAGCGGCCTTATAACGCTAAATATTGGTTTTCGATACCCGTTGTGGGAACAGCACAGTTAGCCTGTTGTGTAGCTTTGCGCTTAACTACAAACAAACACACTTATGAAACTCCATGATTTTAATGTACCAGACGATGTGGCTTGGCATACTAAATAATCTTTAAAATCATCAATTGATATTATAACCCTCGTCTTTCTTTATTTGGTATGTGATCTAATAATTTACAGTCTTCCTCTTATTGTTCTGATAAGACGAATATTAAGTTTTTTAATCTGTGTAAATTGGTGTTTAGAGCCCAGAATCTATAGACTTCTATTTTCGTTTGGTGTGTACTGATATTGACTTTTAAATTAGTCTACGTTTCAACATTTTCAGATAACTTACAAGAACTGAATCAAATATTTTGATACTAAAATTTTTATTATTTATCCACTTCATATATTTTGGCAAAAGTAAAGTTTATCTCATGAATTTGACACTAGGTGTCATTTTCAGGTGGACTGTCAGTCTTTAACGTAGGAAAATATATTTTGCAATGGGATCTGTGTATTTCATAATGATAGATTTTCAAAAGAAGGTGATCATCCTGTTAATATTGAATGTATAAGCGAAACTCTCTTTTCAAGAGAAATGATATTCTGGTATTGAAATTAGTAAGTTTTCGACTTTTCTGTATCAAATGATATTTTATGTTTTGCAATAATGTACCGAAATAATATATAATAATAGTGCTGTAAATAACTTTTGAAACCAGATAAGTTCAATACCAACAGAAAAAGCTTAGAAGAATGACCTGAAACGATCAAGTAAGTTCATCATAACGTAGCACATGAGTCAGGACCAGAAAATTAGCTAGCTGATAGCATCATGGGTGTGGCAAATTCTCATTATTCATTTTAGATAGGTACATGTCTCTTGATGCTAAAATGCCCAGGTGGGCCTTTCTGCAGAGTAGCTGTATGTTACAAAACGGTCGTTTCTATAGTTACCGTTAATTTACCGAAATTCGCCAAAATGCATATTGCATGCATCAAACAATGGCCTTCCAGTGCTGAAAATTGAAATAAAAACTTTTGGGCGGAATTATATAACAGAAAATGGTCGTTCTATTTATGCTTATTTCGTTGGATAATTGGCGATATATTGATATTTTACCATCTGAACTAAGACAAAGAGTAAGGTTCTAGGTTCAAAACGTTTATTCTCAATATTTTTATATACCTTTTAGAAAAAATTCTACTTTTAATCTAAAAGCATAAAGTAAAACTTATAATTCGGGATATGAGTGACGAATATTAATAATTATGCCATTGTTTTTTGAAGATCAACTTCTTTCGTGATCACCTTCATGCCAGCCACCTTTCTACAACCGCCAAAGGCACTGAGTGAGTCGCAGCTAGTAAAAATGTATATAGTCCAATTAAGTGAATGATCAACCTTGTTTACATCAATATATCACAGTCGGTTCTTAGTGCCACATCTTATGTGAACATTCCCAATATCCCTGAAGAATGCCAGACTCAAGATGAATATATCAGTGTTCTCAGAAATAATTGCTATTGCTTCATGATCTTTAAATGCATGTTTTGCATGCGCTATCACACGCGTATCTGCTTCTTCTTGGGTTATCACCAACTCATCAATGCTACGGATGTCATCTTTTGTAATTCTAAAACACTAGTCTTGAGATGTTAAAAACGTGTTCTTTTTTTTTCTGGAAAGGAGAATTTGTTCGTGCATTACACAGGAAGATAATGAGCGATTTCTTGCTGGCAGAACACCCAGGCAGGCGTCTCCATTGTTGGCTTCTGTGGCCAGAAGCAGTGTTTCTACAAACCATGCCAGTATCTGAGGTTCTTTTGTCCCTCTCTGCATTCTTTATTAGGGACGGCTAGCGCAGATCGCCCTCGTGTAGCTCTACGCGAAATTCTGAAACAAATAAACCATTAACAATTCAACGTCAAAACTGTGGAAGTGGTCACTTATATTGTTAGGTGTTTATATGTTAAATCCTATTCAGGAACAGCCTTTCTAGTTCTATGTGTTAGTTGGTCCCACTAAACACCAGACCTAATTCTTCATATGCACATTCATCACATAGCTAATATCCACTGGTTTACATATTTAAGGCCCTACTCTATTTCCTGCAATATATGGAGGAAGTTATGACAATAGAGGAATAATGATGCGATTTTTCAGTTTTTTTCACTGACACTTGGGCTGTTCAACGGTTGGAACTACTGGTTGAACAACAAACCCATTGACCCTATGTGACAATGCTGCATCACTAAATGTCTCCTCTATTCGATTTATGTTAGCAAAAGACAACATTGTTGGAATAGAAGGCAGAATATTAGAAGGTAAGAATATGTCTGATTTATTTGCATCTTTCAATTTCTAGAGACAAAGAGCAGTAACAACTTCTTCTAACTGAATATGTGATATTGCATGCTCAATCTGTTAAGAATCTTGATCAACTCAACATTTCCAGTAAGTGTTTTCACAGCACAAGACAAGTGAATGTGTTTCGTAGGTGTTTCCATACCTCCACTAATAGCATATACATAGTCTTGGGTAAAGGAGTGTAAAAGTCATTCAACTTTGGATGATGGTTGTGATTTTTCAATATAACATCCTAACAACAATTTAAGGAATTCTGTACATTTTTGGCAATGGTAAATAGTTGTTATCCAACTTTTCTTGTTTTGGAGGCCAGTCTTGCTATATGGAAGACTCTTTTACATGTGACCTAAGTTCCACGACACATATTTTCACATTTTGGCCATGATCCTTTGATTGTTGAGATTCAAGCTCAGCAGTTATTCTTAAATTCTCTTGTACCAATATAGCTTTGGACAGATTGTCTGGTATTACATAAAGTTTGCCTTTGACATCTGATATAATTTCTATATTAACACTGAATTCTATCTCCAGCTACTGATGGATCTGCTTTTTTAGTTTGTGGTTTTATATATATCCAATACGAAAGAAGTTCATATTTCCCACCAACTTTTCTGCGAACCAGTACATGGTGACAGTACGTGGTTTACTGAAAGAGTCACTATAGTCAAACAGCATGGAATATACCTCCTTTTCCTTTAGTGAAAATATATATATATATATTCTTGAATTGCCAATTGACTTTTCTTCCTTCCTTTTATAGTTCCTGTAGCATAACCTATGGTATTGTGTCTCTGCTGCCACCAATTCACGAGATTTAATAGCCAACAGCTTTTTGTCCATTATTTTTTCTTTGCTATTTTCCTCACAGCAATGTCTGATCCAAGATCCACTGACTGGAATAGTCGCTCCCTCGATTTTGATTCTTTGACGTATTTTGTTATTTTGTCACAAGATATACATACTTTGGCATACACTATTAAGATGATGTTCGAAATTCTCTTCTTGGTCTGTTTAAATCAAGACTAAATCGTCATATGCACAAGATAGTCCTTTTCTTTTGCAGATGCTTAAGCATTCTTTGTGTGTGAACTATTTTCTGCATACACTGAGATAAAAGTATGAGGAATGTCCGTTTTATCCTTCTGTTGCATAAGTGCATTCACTTCTGGACTTCGGCAGCCTTTAGCAAGTCCTGCCATGATTCTATGTCCTTGGGTTTCGTCAACAGATCAATGATAACCTCAATGTCACAAATCTCACACAATCTGTTAGGTCCTTTTGTTGTTAGACTCTTTTGTTTTACTCCTGATTCAGAATAATTTGTATGCAGTTCTAAAAACTGAAATACCAACTATGAGCATAAAATCTGTCATTTTCCCATATCCCCTTTTCACTATATTTTCAATGAATTTCTTTCCTATTCCTAAAATGGGAGATAATTTTGTAAAAACAAAAGACTGAATTAAGAAAGCTGTTTTTCACACTAAATTACAAATATTTATTAATGTTTTGACAGGTTCACAATATTATATTGAATGGTTTCAAAGTAATGGATTGGAGATGTCGTGAATGGAAGAGCAAATGCAAAGACAGAAGAAAAGAAAGATGGACGCACTAAATGGTTACTACACGCTTCCGACAAGATTTTGTGACTGAGCACTTAGTTGTTTGGTAGATTCTTCATTCTTATTCTTCTACATATGTGCAATGGAAAACATATATCAATAACATGCTAAACTAGCTTTGTATTTTAATGTGTTATGGTTACTATGGAAACCGCCCCCCCCCCTCAGTGACAAACCTACCTGATATTTTTTGTAATGCACATACATTGACCTTCAAAAAATTCATAGTAGGAATTTGGCTAATCTGGCTAATGTTCTAAACACTGTCAAAAATAATTTTAGCAATCAGCTTCAATAATACTAAACTATTGTAATAATAGTAATTAAATATTTCTGCTTCATGACTTCTAGAAAAAAGAATGTGGATATGCCCAATTATCCAGAAGACTTCATTATTTGCTTATTTCAAACATTAACAGAACTTTTATTGTCATACTGCTAACAGGAGCCTATGAAAGAGAAACTACAGCTTGTGTATGATTTTAAGTGTG